TTTGCATTAAATAGGTACACTTGTATGCAGAAATGTAGGTAATTATCTACCATGTTCATATGAAAGTTGAGCTTGATTTTAGTTAATATATGATGGGCTAAAAAATTACAATTATCTGCCAATCAAAAAGGGAAATAGAGAAAATCTGGATTAACAAACGTATTGTAAATCTTCAGGGTTGCTGAAATGTACCACATTACAAAGCAGCTGTAATTGCTTGGACAACTTCCTAAGTTTTGCCTACGGGCTTTAGGGTTTACAAAAGCATCTGGCCAAAACAAAAGAGAGAACACTGCATGTGTAGCCATCAATGAGATTGTTTAACAGAGTTAGATGCCTCACATCTGTGGCTCTCCACAAAATTAAAGGCTAATTATTTTTTAATGTTTTAATTCGCAGTGAAGCTTAATTCAGCAGACCTTCATACTGTCAAAGCTTTTTTTAAGCGATACATGATTAATGGCAATCTATTTAGCAGACTACATCTTTAATGAGCATGTGACCTTTTAGGACCTATAGTTTTACAGTACCACAGATACATACAGGTCTAAATGATTACAAACAGGCCTGGTCATTCAGTAAAACTGGCATTATGTTTTATTTTAGACTGTTAGCCTCTGAGTCTATTATTGGTTTGAAAATGTCTTTTTCATTTACTCACACTTAAGTGAATTTAATCTTTTATAAATGTCTTTTTTTTCTGTTGAACATAAAACAAGATATTGGAACATGAAGTATATATTGCTATTTATAAACAGATTTGGAACAAGTGGAGGATGAGTAAATGGCAGCAGAATTGTCCTCACTGTAGTCTGTAGCACGATGACGTACTGGATCAGGTCCATGCATTGAACATTGTAATGCCCAAGTTACTGTAATGTTGGGGTACACTAAATAAAACAAACTCATTGGATGACCTAATTTAATTGAGGCAGGATTTCCATCAAATCAATTTGTGTAGCACCAGTAATAATAATAATAATAATAATAATAATAACAATTTACACAATTAAATGCACTTGAGATGGTCCATAATATTTTTTCATTTAACCTAAACTCAAAGGTTTGATAATATCATGCATGTCTATTATGTGTTGCACTTTTCGAAGTCTCTTAGTTATCCTAAATGTACTAAAAGAGGAGTTTTAAAGCATATTTCATGAGTTACATGTACTGTTGATCTCAGAACTAATTTTAGGACATTTATTGCTTAAAGCAAGTGAGCAAAGCAACAACCAGCGGTTTTGCTAATTAAGCTGCCAACATTCAAAACATGTGTGCGTCTGCAAGGTCTCAAAACTCAAAGCATAACACAAAACATCTAAATTTTCAAACTCAAAGTGCAAATTAAACTCTTACAAATCTTTCTATTAAACACCTAAGACTACTTTCATAGCTAACATTTCCCTCTCCTAATTCAATCCCACGCAAAGCATGCTGGGAAAAACAAATCCCCTGACCAGGTAGTTGGACCAACACAATTCCTTTATGTTGTCCTGACATAAAACGCTTATGTTAACTTAGTTTACAAATTTAAGTGGACTGTACATAAAACAAATAAATTGGCCAAAGAAATGACAAGAATTGTGTTGTTTCAGCTTAATTTAAACAGGTAGTTTGAACAAGCAGCAGTAATCATTTTTTGAATGTGTAGACATTAATAACTGTGAGGGTTGAGTTTAGGCACTGGTAGGTAAAGTTTGTGTAATTCAATTATAATTCAATATAATTAATTCTAATTTTTAATTTTAATCTAGTAGGTCAGTGTGCTATACATGCTGCAGCAATGGCATATTTGAATTCTCAGTTTTGGGTGAGCTAATCTTTATCTTTAGTGCTATCTTTTCTAATCATAGTTAAAAATTGTCACTGAAGTAAAGCATGTGTGCGACTATCACAATGACAAGATCAGTGGCTTGCTCAAATTTCCCTCTTGTTCCCCAAACCCGGACATCATCCGTGTTTGTAAATATGTATGCCACAGCATATTGTTTCATTGCACGCTATTGCATGAAAGTTTAATAACTCTTTTGTAGAAACAATCTCTCTCTTTCTGCCGCTTCCTATTTTAACATCTCTAGCAAATGTGTTGGTTTGCTCTCATATTTGCTTTCTCTTTTGTAACCCACATCAAACTCATTATCTGTTGCTCATATACAGAAGATGAATTGAAACATTCAGATTATCTTGCAAATAACTAAAATAATCTGTCAGATTCTTATTGTGTTTCGCATTGATTTTATGTATTTGCTGGTATTTGTTCACTGAAATAGCAGATGGTCTCATATAGTTTTTGTCTGCTCCAAAAAAATGACTGCTATAATACCAAATTTGGAAAAACACAGAAGAGATTAATTAGGCATGTGGATTGGAAACAGAAGCCAAATAAAACATCAGTGGGGTTTAATTTAACGATAAGGAACTGCTGTACTTGCAGATAAGAAACTTGAGCTTTTTTTCTCTTGACTTGAATCCAGCTGATGCCAAAGTTAGACTGATTATAGTATTCAAGCCAACTGGTGACAACACTTTCTAAAAATGCCAGAATATGTGTCTGAATGTCAGTCCTTGAGCAATTGTTTATTATTTTACTTTATGGGAAAGTATTCAGTCTTCATTTTGTACAAATGTTGGGAATAATAAATAAGAATGTAAAAAAAAAAAAAAAAGAAATATAGAGTGCAATAAAATTCATGGGGAAAGTAGGAGGAAAGAGCTTTCTAGGTATTTGTAATTTTGGAAGTTATAGGCCTTTAAAAGTGTCAGAATAAAGGGTTATTGCTAAAACACCTCATCCGAAATAGATTTAGAAAAGGAGGATCAGTTATTAGCACCTATTATTATGTGGAAAGGCCACCACAGCTGCTTAACCACAAACACGAACATTTCAATCAGAAGGAATTCAACCAAACCAAAGACAATATGCTGGATACATAAAATGTATATTAAATGGTGACTGCAATTTTTCTTAAGTTTTTTTATTTAAATTTGGTAATATATTGTGCACATGGTCACAAGGTCACATTTACACTGTAAGGTCTTGTTCCCAATTACAATTTGTTGCCTATATTTGACATTTTTTTTTTGTCGATTTGTTAACATGTTCTGTTTATTGAGACCTATATCTGATTCATGTGTTTACACTTGCCATACAATTTCTGACGTTGCGCATGTGTAAAGGCGGGTTCTAGCATCTGCGCCACACTAGCCACGATGGAAGAAATTGTCTTGCTTTTGTTTATTAATTTATTCATTTTCTTTTCGGCTTAGTGCCTTTATTAATCTGGGGTCACCACAGCGGAATGAACCGCCAACTTATCAAGCTTATGTTTTACTCAGCAGATGCCCTTCCAGCTGCAACTCATCACTGGGAAACAGTACACTACGACCAATTTAGTTTACTCAATTCACCTGTACCGCATGTCTTTGGATTTGTGGGGGAAACCAGAGCACCCGGAGTAAACCCACGCAAACACGGGGAGAACATGCAAACTCCACACAGAAATACCAACTGACCCAGCTGAGGCTCCAACCAGCAACCTTCTTGCTGAGAGATGTTAGTGCTACCCATGTCTTGCTTTTAGCTCCGCAAAATATCAGAAGTTTGGCCAACTTTAAAATGATTTTGAGGCGGAGGAGGAGGGAAAGGGCTGTCATTGCAGCTTGCGCCTGCAGTTTATATATGGTGTCCTTCACCATTCAGTGAAATTTATGGGTTTATCTTGATCGGACTCATCTTCCCACAGGGCAAGAAGGCAGGTAACTTCTGCTGTCGACCACCACTTTCCTCCACCCTGTTTCCTCTGTTGTTGCTTTCCTCGTCGATGTCTTCACACACGATTTTCCTTCTACATGATTAAACCGCTGAGAAGTACCAGATTGTCACAAGTTTAACAACGTACAAAATGGAATGCCTCAATAAATGTAATCTACATGTTTGCATGATAGTCGCATTGTCACATTTGATCTTTGTCATGATGACAGTAAATAATATTTGACTAGATAATTTTCAAGACACTTTTATACAGCTTAAAGTGACATTAAAAATGCCTTAACTAGGTTATTTAGGTTAACTATGCAGGTTAGGGTAATTAGGCAAGTTATTGTATAACGATGTTTTTTTCTGTAGAATATCGAAAATAAAATTAGCTTTAAGGGGCTAATAATTTTGACCTTAAAATGTTTTTTAAAAAATTAAAAACTGCTTTTATTCTAGCCGAAATAAAACAAATCAGACTTTCTCCAGAAGAAAATATATTATCAGACATACTGTGAAAATTTCCTTGCCCTGGTAAGAATCATTTATGAAATATTTAAAAAAGAAAAAAACCTCAAAGGGGGTCTAATAATTCTGACTTCAACTGTATGTAGGACGCCTGAAACTAATATCTGAATATCCGAATGCATTTTTTTTTTTTTTTCGTGTTTACACGGTCATAGAATAAATCCGATCTGTGACACATATGAGCAAAAAATCTGAATTGGGTCACATTTAACTGGCAGTATAAACAGGGCCTAAGTCAACAAAGTGGGTCTAATAGCATTATATTCATTCATTCATTCATTCATTCATTTTCTTTTCGGCTTAGTCCCTTTATTAATCTGGGGTTGCCACAGCGGAATGAACCATCAACTTATCCAGCACTTTTTCACTTAGCGGATGCCCTTTCAGCCGCAACCCATCACTGGGAAACATTTATTCACACTCATTCACACACATACACTACGGACAATTTAGCCTACCCAATTCACCTGTACCGCATGTCTTTGGACTGTGGGTGAAACCGGAGCACCCGGAGGAAACCCAGCGAACGCAGTGAGAACATGCAAACTCCACACAGAAACGCCAACTGACTCAGCCGAGGCTCGAACCAGCATTATATTATATTATATTATATTATATTATATTATATTATATTATAAATTTTTCTATGGTTTAGTCTTTATCGCAGAGGTTGCCACAGCAGATTTCCTGTGTAATGTAAGATCAAAAGGTTATGTTTTCTCTATAGCACCTTTATTCAAACTGTTCCTGAGCAAATAAAAATATATCTTTTCAATCTGCCCTAATATGGGCAATACTTTCATGCCAACTTTTGTTCAAAAAGAGGGTATTACTAAAAACGTAAGAGTACAAAACCTCGGCAAGTTATATAAACAACAGCAAACATTACTCACAGGAAATTTGTTACATCATCTTTTTTTGTTCCCAGAAAATTCTTATTCATTTGACTTTGTGCTTTGATATTTAACTCGCTAACAAGGGTGTTTCTCTGAAGCTCTTGTATGATAAATATTCCAGGCAGAATGGCAAATGTGAAATAATTACTATTACAGAGCACATGAAAAAAAAATAAGACAATGTTAATAAACTCAGATACACATGCTGCAGTTTCCTCATATACAGACTGATTTTTGTTTTTAAAAAGTGCTTGATACTGAATATGTAGAAAATTAGTGTTACTCAAAGTACTATATTCCTTCCATCAGAAGCAGTTGCTATATGATCTAAGTTTGTTCGTCACGGTGACCAATAGTTCACCTCTGATTGGTTGCCAGATTTAGGGAGAGAAAACATGGTTTGTGATGTCCTGTGGAAATGTCCTCTTGGAGTTTCTCCTGTTACCACTTTCCAGGGATCGGAACTCCGCATTCATACCAGCCTACGAATGGATGAGGTGTACGCCTGCCGATGGCCCCGAAATTTACTGGCTCTTGTCTGTATGACCGATAATATCCTGAAACCCAAATAGAAGATCATGGTAGAGTAGTAAACATTCAGAAATGTTAGTAACAGCCAATAAAGTTTGGTTCAGTAATAATTTTTTTAAACTATTCTACTCACCAAGGCTGCATTTATTGAATTAAAAAATACAGTAAAATGTTAAAATATTATTCAAATTGAACATAACAGTTTTCTTATTGAATATAGTTTAAAACGTAATTTAATAATGTGATTTAAATGAGAATTTCTTTAAAAATCTATGTAATATTATTTTCATCATTGTTGGGCTCTTTCTTATTTTTCTGGAAACTGTAACTGCCCGTGCTGCCCTGTAAAAAAAAAACCCATTATTTATTTATTTTTTTTCGGCAGCTGGGGTACCAGAAAACAAAGTAAAATAATTTCAATTACAGCAATTTACCATAAAATAACGATCATTGAATTACAGAAATTTATAGTAAAATAATGGCCGTTAAATTACAGAAATTAACAGTAAAATAATGGCTGTTAAATTACAGAAATTTACCGTAAAATAATGATTGTTAAGTGACTAGATTTTACTGTAATATAATTGCTGCTAAATTACAGAAATTTACCATAAAATAATGGCTGTTAAATTCCAGGAATTTATTGTAAAATAACAATCGTTAAATTATTAAAATTTACTGTGAAATAATGGCTGTTAAATTACAGAAATTTACCGTAAAATAACAATTGTTAAATGACCAATTTTTACTGTAATATAACGGCTTTTAAAATACAGATAATTACCATAAAATAATGTCTGTTTAATTACAGAAATTTACTTTAAAAAACCAATTGTTAAATTATTAAAATTTACTGTGAAATAATGGCTGTTAAACTACAAAAATTTACCGTAAAATAAAGATTATTAAATGACAAAAATTTACTGTAAAATAATGGCTGTTAAATTACAGAAATTTACCCTAAAATAACAATCGTTAAATGACAAAATTTTACTGTAATATAATGGCTGTTAAATTACAGAAATTTACCGTAAAATAATGGCTGTGAAATTACAGGAATTTATCGTAAAATAATGGCCATTAAATTACCGAAATTTGCTGTAAAATAATGGTTGTTAAATTACAAAAATTTACTGTAAAATAATGACTGTTCAAATACAGAAATTTACCGTTAAATAATGGCTGTTCAATTACAAAAGTTTACCGTGAAATGATGGCCATTGAATTACTAAATTTTACTGAAAAATAATGTCCGTTAAATTACAGAAAAATTTTAAATGTAAGGAAATTTCTGTAATTTAACATGCATTATTTTACGGTAATTTTTTGTAATTTAACGACCATTATTTTACAGTGTGAGTAAGATACTTCAAAATTAGTAATTATTTTATGAATAAACTGACAGAAAATAGATTTTAATTCTAAAAATGTGACTTAGTTTTGTTAAAAAATGTAATACCTCGTGTCAAAACACAATACGTTTCAAATTATCATTATTTTTTGACTCAATTATTATTGTTTGTTATTATTATTGTTTATTATTCATGTGCAATTATCCTGATGAATGTAACTGTTGTTGAAAAATATAATAATTTTTCTAAATACATTTGTATTACAAAAGGTACAATTACTCAGCTTTTTTAAATTCATTTTTCCAGAACTGTTGAATTTAATTAGTGTTTAAGGCAAGTATATATGTCATAAGTGACCAATGCCAGATGCATGGGTCTTCAGCATCAAAGCTTAATGAAGGGTGTGGGCATTTCTATCAGTCATAATAGGGTCAGCCAATAAAATTTAAATTGTAACAATGTTTTTATATGCATCAAATTGCAGCCTTTGTAAACACAGTCGTCTTCTTTTACAAACATTAGAAAATCTCACTGATTTTACACTTTTGACCAGTAGTCTTACCTTGAGCTGTAGGCAGGTTGAGAGAGAGATTGTGTGGTCCAGTTCTTCCATCTAGATGGGAGTCCACAAACTGGCAGTGGTCCTCTCCATGGCCAAATGTATCAGCAAGGCTGTAGAATGTTTCTGAAATGGAAAACAGTCGTAGCTTGAGCGTCCCTCAGGACCCAAACCTCAGACAGTGCGTTGTGTTTAGTTGAGGGGAAACTGCGGTTTGGAATGGATGCTTCCGAGGCTTTTAGGCCAAACACTCCAAAAAAACAGGCTGCTTCATATTACAGGCACGCTGAGCATTAGATTCAAGTTTGAACGGCATCATGTTGTTTGAAAGGAAGGTCAGTACCTCTCAGTCCATCTGCCATGAAGATCTTGTAGCGCAGCGAGTTACAGAGGACCACGCCAACAAACTTCCTGTACCAGGTGCGCTTGACAAATTGACTGCCTCTGCAAGAACTGTGGGCTTGGTTATACCTGAATGAGAATGGGATCCAGATGGGCTCCCCACCTAGAAAGGGAATGAATGTCAATTACATTTGGAAAATATAAATGCTAAGGGCAACAGTGATTCAGTGATTGAGCATAATCTGTTCTGATGAGACTGGATTACGGATTACTAACTAAGGTACAATTAAAAGAAAACTTCAGCAAGAAACCACAGCAACAGTTCAATTTAGAACCATGTCATCCTGAAGAGCCCTTTTATGCTGAAATGTGTAGCAACCAAGCAACTGTGCAGACTTGAACAAGGCTAAACTTGGGCTGTCGGTGAAAATAATATAGACATCTAAGAATAGCTCAAAACTAGATTAGTCGTCAAATAGACAGACTTCATATGTGTAGTCATTCATTTCTGATTATTTGATGACTAGTCTAGTTTTGGACTATTCTTAGACATCGAGTAAATTTTCACTGACAGCTCAAATTTAGCCAAGGTGACTATGCTTAGACGTCTATTAGACATATTTTAAAAGCAAAAAATGCTTGTTGGTTTCTTAAAATGTCTATAAATGACTGATAATCATTGATATTACAACTGGATTCCAAGCAGTATCCCTCTTATGAAAATGTTTGTGTGGCTAGCTCTATTCATTTAAAAACACCCCAATGGCACCTCTATTCATTAAAAAGATTTTAATGAATTTAGGATAGGATTTTTTTAATTTACTTTTTTATTAAAAACATAGCTAGTCACAAAATACACAACAAGTTCATGGTTTATATTAGCTTTCCCTTTTTAACACAATAATTCACTCACATACCTTTTTTTTAAAGCTATTTACAAGCATACTAATTTGGTAAATTTTTTTTGTCTTAAAATCAGTGTGGAACAGATATTGATACTGTTTGTATGTTGATGTACTTCCAACTGAAATGGAATAACGAGTTGAGGGCAGGACTTTCTTTTTGCGCATGATTGACTCTTAGCAAACTAATGAAAAGATTATTGTGGCTGAAGCCATCAAAATGATGTCAACAGAGAAGAACGTGGAAGCAAAGACTTAAAGATCACAAAATTTTTTTTTTTTAGTGGATTAATTTGCACCAATTATTTGTTCCCCTAAAGAATTACAAATTTGCGCTAGTAAAACAAACATTTTAAATTTTGATGTGATGGAGTTTAAAAGTTGACTTTGAAAGTCTTTTTTTGAGACACCAGCATTTAAATAAACCCTTTAATAAATAAAAATAACATAAAAAGTATTGCTTTTTCATTGCCCAAACAGCTTTTAACAAAATAAAATAATCAAGACCTTTGACTTTTCTGGTATAGTACTTAACCCTGTCGCCTGATTTTTATTTTTGAAGGACATTTTTGCCAGGAAAATGAAAAGAATGTGACATTTGTGTAGCTCTTGAGAGCCTGTCTTTTGTTCTGCCTAATTTCATTCTATGATACAGTTGTCATTTTTGTTCTGTTCATTTCATTAGTCAGAGGAAAGCACGCATCACAATTTTACACAATCATCTATATCTCGCTTACAGCAGCATTTATTCATGGACTCTTGTTGTTCATTATAAGTAAAGTATTTCCTACATCTTTTTACTTGTAATCAAAGAAAAAAATGATAATTTTGCTGTAAGCGTATTGGGAATTTGAATCATATTCAGTTTCTTGGACATTATATGTATGGGTGTAAGCAGTTAGTTGGTTTCGCTTTTCCCTTATGGCCACCGGTGTTACTGATAGTAAAGGTAAATTGTAAAGGAGTTTTAGAATGACATAAATATTGTGTGTAATGACATATCTCTTACCTGGGGGTCTTGCTATGAGCAGAGGGTCGTCTAGATGAAAGAAAACATCATTTTAATTTATATTAGTAAAGGGTTTTAAAGACAATAACCAGCTTTTTGTTCATTCAGACAAAGAAAGACTCACCTGACTCTGTGACGTATGTTAAAGTTTCACTGAATGGCCCCAGTCCAAAAATATTCTTTGCTTGAACTCTGAAGTAATATCTAAAAACAAGAGTGTTTCAAATCAGTCAAATTTAAAAGCATGGTACGGTGTAATGAAGATTTTTGTCACAGAAAATTGTCTGTACACTGATCTAAACTTAAAACTTAAACTTAAAGGAGTAGTTCGCTCAAAAAATTTAATTTACCCACCCTCAAGTTTCTTTATTCAACTGAACAAAAAGATAATGTTTTGAAGAATATTGGAATTTGATTGTGTTTGCTGACTAGTATTTTTCTAGATGGAAATAACTATACCTGTTTAGTTACTAAAATTCTTCAAAATATCTTCTTGCATGTTCAGTTGAAGACGGTAATGTGTGCACTGCGCAGGTTGGGAACAATTTGAGGGTGAATAAAAGATGAGTTTCTGTTCATTTTTTGGTGAACGATCCCTTTAATAATAAAACGAGAATGTGTGAGCAAAGAAAAATTAACATATAAAAGAAAAAAAAAACATTAAAAAGAAAATGAAAAAAATTTGTATTGAAATCATGTAGGTATAAAACAAAATAAAAATGACATGAAAATAAAAGGAAAATTGGTTACAAAAATGAAAAATAGGAAGAAATGTAAAAGACAAAAATAAAAATAAAAATAGGGAAAAGCCAAGGAAAGAATAGAAAATGAAATAAAAATGAAGAAGAAGGAAATCAAAAAGGATCATACATATTATGGAAATGAAAAAGGACAGAAAAAAGTAAAGCAAAACGGGTAGGAAAATGAAAGGAAGCACAGTTAAAATGTGCGTTAATAAAACCTGCATGAGGAAAAGTTTTGAGAGTGAGCCTCTGGCAAAAAGAAAAGGCTGACAAAATTTAATGACAAGAAGAGGCTGCATGTCAGGGAGAGCGAGCAAGACAATAACACTGCAACATGGAATTTCCAATCTGACAAAATCTCTTTGTGACAAATACCAGACCACAACCACCCATTCTGCCCTGACTCTCTGGCACATCCTTTACCTCCGAGGATAAATTAGACAAGTAAAGAAATTAAAAGCGAGAACTATGATGAAGTTGAAAGGGCAGAGCTAACACACAGCACACAGCCTTCTGTTGTGCCAGTGAGAGAACTGTTCGGTTAGCTCACGCTTCGCTTGTTTTAACTCAGGACCCGTTTAATGACATAAAATCAGCACTGCTGGATCAAATTAGCACAGCCACGTGGAAACTCTGACCAAAATAAAGAAAAAAATGGACAATTACTGTCAGACCGCCAGAAGGAGAGTAAGGAGGGGGTCTGTCATATTTCAACCAGGATGTGTGGTTACTGTTTATGTGCCCATGTGCTGCTTTCTCCTTGTCCTTTTGACCAAATATTATTAAAAGGGTAGTACATCCAAAATGAAAATTCAGTCATTATTCAGTGTGCCAATGCTACATACCACTTTTCTGTTTTTTTGGACTACAAAAGGAGACATTCAGAAAAATGTCCGGTATAAAATGCAATGAAATAAATACCAGCATTAAAAAGACAGCAAAGTGAATAGTCTATATTTTAGAGTTGTAAAGACCATTTTTTTAGAACTGCAAGTTTGTATCTCACAGTTCCGGAGATTTGTGAGTTGAAAAGTTTACATCTGACTATATGTTGACTAATTTTCTCTTAATTCTGAACTATACACTATCTGACAAAAGTCTTGTCATTATTCCCAGTTGTATGAGCAACACATAATAACTTGATTTCTAGTTGATCGTTTGTTAAAGTGGCAAATGTAAATTTTTTTAGATGAATCATCCATTGAACTGCATTCTTATAATCAAAAATACTGCACAAGACCTTTTGGTACCCACATGGACCCAAGATTCTCACAGAAATCAGTCATGTTTGGTGAAGGAAAAATCATGGTTTGGGGTTACATTTAGTATGGCGGCGTGTTAAAGATCTGCAGAGTGCTTGGCAACATCAACAGCCTGAGGTATCAAGACATTTGTGCTGCCCATTACATTACAATACTTTGTCATAAACATGCTCAGGACTGTTTGCAAAAGCTGTGAATTTCAAGGTAATGATGTAAATTAGGGCTGGGCGGTCTGACCAAAAGTTTAATTTACGGTAAATGACAACATTTATTTCAATTTACGGTAAATGACAACATTTATTTCATGCTAACGATATCTTCACAATATAATTTTATAAAAGTAGTTATTTCAGAGAATGTACAAAGGGGTTTTATATAATAAGTAAGCTTAAATATTTAAGAAAAGAAAAGGACTTGATCTTATTTGATTATTTTGGATTTTATTTTTACCTTACAAATATAGTAAACAAAAGATTACTTTAGATGAAAAAAATTCAACTGTATGTCACATTTCATAGTTATGTGGACAGACCTTATTTTTATTATTATTAGTATTATTATAAACATTTTTTCAAGTAACATTATTTAACAGATATTAAATATATCCCAAGTAATTAACAGGAAAAGAGCATTTATATATGAAAATATAAATACACTTTAAGGACATAAAAACTATAAAATATTTTTTCTTTCAGAAATGCAAAACATAAACAATTATTCTCTTTAAGTATTGAAATTAAGTAATCACTTCTTGTTAAAAATATAAAGCAATTGGCAACACTGCCAGTCTCCAGAGGAGTGTCTTTCACAGCTTCATTCACGCTTCATTCATTTACATTTACATTTACATTTAGTCATTTAGCAGACGCTTTTATCCAAAGCGACTTACAAATGAGGACAAGGAAGCAATTTACACAACCAAGAGCAACAATGAATAAGTGCTATAAGCAAGTTTCAGGTCTGTAAAGTCTAAGAAGGGAAGTATTAGTAGTATTAGTTTTTTTTTGTTTTTTTTGTACAGTTAGTGTGATATTCAGAGAGGCAATTACAGATTAGGAAGTGAAGTGGAGACTAAATAGTTGAGTTTTTAGTCGTTTCTTGAAAGTAGCGAGTGACTCTGCTGTTCTGATGCAGTTAGGGAGTTCATTCCACCAACTGGGCAGATTGAGCGTTCGCGTTCGCGAAAGTGATTTCTTCCCCCTTTGGGATGGAACCACGAGGCGACGTTCATTCACAGAACGCAAGTTTCTGGAGGGCACATAGATCTGCAGAAGCGAGAGCAGATAAGAATTCTAATCTACGGTAATGATAAATGCCTCCATACCGCCCAGCCCTAATGTAAATGATGTTCAGTTTCTTATTCAGACCGATCATTTCATAAGGCATCAATGAATCATGAGGAGCCACAAGTATTCATTATGTTTTGCTTGTATATATTTTTGGATTCTCAAAGTGCTGTAGCTGTTGATTGACATTTAATGAATCACTATAGTTTTAGTTTAAAAATCCTGGAAGCCACCTACACTACATCTTGGATGACCTGAGAATGTGGAAAGTATCAACAAATTTTAATTTTTGGCTGAACTGTCCCTTTAATTTTCATTTTTGGGTGAACTAACGTGCATTTTGAACATATGTGTCTCATTTTTCCTTGCCCTTCTGACCACAATTTTTTGTGGAACTGATGAAAGCCTCGATATGGCATCCAAGTGGTTTGTCATCATTTCTTTGACTAATCTGTTATTGTCCACAGTGTAGGCTATTTACCTAGGTCTAAAAGCTATCGCAAATTATTCATAAAACTTATCAACACTTCATAGCTGAACTGTAAAGTTGTCAGTCAGTGAGCTCGGCTGAGAGGCTATAATAACAGAGGCTTCTAAATGAATCCCAGAGGATAATAAAAACAACTTCATCCTCACATTCCACGTTTATGAACCAAACTTCTCTAATGAGTGCAAATGCACAGAACCTATTTTCTCAAGGTAGTGATGGAGAGAGTGCATCTGCCTGTCTGGAAAAGTGTACAAAACAATTGTCAATCAAACCTGGGGCGTTACACACAGCTGCGCGCATTTATGTATGCGTGCAGAAGACATGTGCAGGTCCAGACGAAGTCTGTGAATACTTTTTTGCACTAATTTTGAAGCAAAATCTGTTCTGAGAGTAGACCTAATAAGCCAAAGATATCTAAGAAATAAACATGCGAGAGGGATGCGCAGAACTGAATGAATGATTGTGTGGAAATCTGTGGGAAAGCTCATTGGTGCTGTAATGCCCCAATGAAAGCATGCTGCTTGGTTAAGAAAGCATTTAGATGGCTCTGGTAGGCAGAAATTGCTTCACATCTGTGGGAAATGTGCAGACAGGCCATAAACACCTCCCTTATCTACTGCTGCAAAAATGTGTTTGTAGAGGTTTATAGTGTTACAGTGAGAGCAGAAATTCAGAAACAGACACATGTAAACACAATATAGTTGTGCAATGTTAATGTGGTCTTGGCTAAAGTGTGGTAGGTTCTGGCTATCACTGAAAAGCAGTTATTTTAGTGCCTGGGAAGTTTTTTTTTTTTTTTTACTTATTTCTCCAAATTCATTGTTGAATTGAATTTCCAGCAAACATGACCTCACTGTCAAAATATACATTAGAAATTCTTCAAATATTCTAATGTTCAAGAAAAGAAATTGCTCTTGATTTTATGCATCATATTTAAAAAAGAGGGAATAATGAGGAAAAAAGTCCTTTGTTAGGTTCTATAAAAAGTTACAATAAAGAAGGCGAAAATGATTTTAAAGAAAGAATAATTTTAAAAAGTCCTAAAAACAGTTAAATTATACTTTAAAAATCATTGAAATATACCAATGTTCAAAAAACAGTTTGTAATAATAAATTTGCTCTTGATTTTCTGCAGCATTTTTGAAAAAAAAAAAAGAATAATTAGATAAAAAGTCCTAAAAACATTCAAATTATACTTAAGAAATTATTCAATATTCTAATGTTCAAGAAAAGTAAAAAAAACCCACTATGTAATAATAAGTTTGCTTTAAAAAAAGAATAATTAGAAAAAAGTGCTTCAAAGATATTTATATTTTACCACTAAAACAATAATAAAAAATATAATACAATAAAATATGCAATAAAAAACGCTTTGTAAAACATCCTGTATGGGTCTGATTTATCAGTTCCTATCTGCTCCAAAGATTGCAATCAGATAGAAATCGCATAGAGCAGAATAAATCCCATATGAAGTCAAATTGATTACACGCGTACATGAGCTAACTATGACAACCCTGCTAATTATAAAATAGTTCCCAGCTTTTATGACTTAATCTGGCACATATTTTAAACATGCAACCACATTTCAGATCAGTTATCATCTCAGAGATAGTTTAAGACTTTGCAAAAGATGTTTGGGGAAAAAACTAGAGCAAGATTGAGATAAATGTTGCATTTGTATAAATTTATGTCCAATAAAGAAAGTGGAAATTATTTTATAGCTTTGTATACCAACAAGTCTCTCAAATCTTCCCAGCATATTGTTGGAGTTCTTGGATTAAGCATGATTTATCAGGCCTCCCAAAAGATTTACACAGAGAACTCTTCCCAATTGCTTTTTTGTAACTAAGCCTTTACATCAGAACTTTTTTTTCATTTAATTTAATCACTTGTAAGTAGCTTTGGATAAATAAATAAATAAATATATATATATATATATATATATATATATATATATATATATATATATATATATATATATATATATATATATATATATATATATATATAAAATGGATTGATGTGGTGTGTTTGTGTTTCACGCTGTAAAGCACCTTGAATTAGGTTTGAGGTTTTCAACAGGGAGGTGTGTTCCAGTTGAGGGTTGTTCTGACCATCTGTTATTCAGAACGTCGTCATAGGAGGCACTGTGTACCATGTAGCCTATGAAAGAGAGATTCAAACAGATTCAGATAAATGAGCAGGGATTATGTCATTTCTTCATAGGGATTCCTCAATATAATCCTGGTTGCTTATTACATCATGGAAGGGCTAAACGTCTGCCAAGGCTGCAGTATGTATATAAAGTAAGCATGTGCGTGTACTTTCCACCATCTAATATGAAAAAGAGAGCAGTGTAGGAGTGAAGGTTTATGAAAGTAAAAGAGTTCATAAAAAAAAAAAAAAAAAAAAAAAAAAAAAAAATATATATATATATATATATATATATATATATATATATATATATATATATATATATATATATATATATGTATATTTTCAAAATGTACATTTTGTCACAAGGTACAAAGGTACAAAAGTGAACCTTAAAGGCTTAAAGGCACAAAACTGCACCCCAAATTTACTAATGTCTATCTGAATGGTACAAACGAGTTCATTTAGAATGGGTAACACCTCAGTGACAGATTTTGTTCCTTTATTTATGAGTGTATAGATATATACAGCTATGGATGAAAAAAAAAACACTTGAAAATAGGTTTGAACAAAATATTGACTTTTGTTTTATTTCATGAATGTCTCTAACATATGTGACCCTGGACCATAAGACCATAAGTACGAGTCAAAATGATCAATTTTCTTTTATGTAAAAAAAAAAAACAATAAGGAAACATATTAAAGGTCTTGTGAAGTGCTTTTAAACATGTGTTTTCATTCCATGTTTGTCGTAATCTCAACCGAAACATTAAGAGAGGGTGGGACATAGTGTAGCACCTCCCCTTTAAAGTAAAACACCCAATAGCATTTTGTTCCATCACTGCTCTGCCAGTGAAAGTGGTTGAGCTTAGACGCGTCAAATGAAAAGACAATGAGAAGCGTCTTGAAGGGGGCGGGGCATGTCAGACACTAGAGAGCATTTGATTGGTTCTGATTTAATGAGAAACTGTAGTATGTGGTGATGTGAATTAAACTCTTGGTTTATATCGGTTTTATGTTTATAATGTGCATTTTGTCACTGTCTTGGAGTGCACTAGATGGTAAATATCTTAAAGACTAACAATACTGATACAGACATTTAAAAAAATGTATTTTAATTTCATGGGACCTTTAAGTAAACATCATATTTCATGAAGAAATAAAAGAATACAGTAAATATTTCAAGAGTTTTTTTTTTGACTACTGCATTTTATGTACTTAATTTGCAGGCTTTAAACTTTAAAGGCTTTAAAAAACTTTACATTTATTTATTTATTTGATCAGATTTCAGATTGAAAATAGTTTTATATGGAATAGATAAACTTCCAGATAAACTATAACTATTGCCATTTAGAGCTATTATATTTAATTGTTTTGATTGAATGAATTTGATTTTCATTGAAAATCAGGGATATTCTACCAAATACAGATTTGTTAACTGTTTAAACATTGTTATTGCCTTGTCTGAAAATTAATAGAACTTCTGAAAACATGACATGATTTTTATTAAAAATAAAATGATGAGAAGCCATCAGTAGATTACAGATATATACAAATCAAAAATTATGTTTACCTCAAACACATCAATTGCCTCAGTGAGGTCTCATTTTTTTTCTACATTGCTGTGTAAATATACAGCTAAGAAAAGTATATTAATTGGATCTGTAGAGTAATACAATGTAATTCATAATTCTGTAATGCACTTTGCAAGTGTAATAATGTTAAAATGCTTTTAGTATTGAAAAAAGATTTTCTTTTTAAATTGCAGCGATTACTTATAAACAAATCAGCTGTAACATGAGATTGTTTTCTCAAATTTTATTCAAGAGCATGTGGACCTTATTTTTCATGTTTTGAAAAAGTTGCACCATTCATCTAAACTTTATCGGCGGTCTGTTGGCAGGGAATCCGCTGCATGTAAACCTCCTCACACATCACATCATGACACTAACAGTGGCTGTGGGAATTGCCTCCCTGTATGTGTGAATCAGAATGAAACTGTCAGGGTCAATATGTTACAGCAATGTTAAATATAGCTCTGTGCCTGAAAATGCACATTAAATGCAGACCGTGCAGGATGTAAGACAATTCAGCACTGTGCTTTACCAGATGGAGTTACTTCAACAGGCGGTATTTGAACAATCCAATCTTATTTACAAATCACACACATTTGATTTTTTAGTTTATTTCCAAACAAGTTAAAACAGTGCACCATCCTTTTAATGAAACTATAATTTCTTTGCAAATCAGCAATATTTTTATGTTTCCAATTCAAAAGTGTCAGCTGATTGCCTGCCACAAATAGAGACAGTCCAGTCAAAAATAAGCATTCTATCATCTTAATTCATCCACGTGTTGTTTCAAATTATGCATCTATTAATTTATTTGTTTGTTTGTTTGTTTGTTTTCTTTAACATTCCACAGAAGAAAATTTATACAGGCTTGGCACAACATGTGGATGATGCAAAATTTCCATTGCTAGACGAACTATGTTGCTCTGTTCCCATGCAGTTTATTAGTTGACTGCATAGTTGTCATCCTCAGCTTTGCTGTTAACATGTCTGATGCATCTTTTTCCTTGTCAGTGAAATAGGTTGTAAATCTTTTTCATTGCTGCTATCAAACAGGTCTATGCATGATTAACTTTTCTTTCTTTAGCTTTCTTTAATATTGCTTAAGCATAGTAGACCGAGAAACTGAGTATCAGTAATAAATGCATAAACTGAATTGGGTGAATCTTGTTGTTGTTTTTTTTACAAATATTTGTTGCATTGTGAGCTTTATGCTGTATATTCAACAACAACAAGAAAAATAACTGGCTTTAAAACTTTTAAAAATCGAATTTGAAGTGACACCACCCTGTTCATTCATTCATTCATTCATTTTCTTTTCGGCTTAGTCCATTTATTAATCTGGGGTCGCCACAGTGAAATGAACTGCCAACTTATCTAGCACATGTTTTACGTAGCGGATGCCCTTCCAGCAGCAATCCATCTCCGGGAAACATCCATAGACATTCATTTACACTCATACACTACGGACAATTTAGCCTACCCAATTCACCTGTACTGCCTGTCTTTGGACTGTGGGTGAAATCGGAGCACCCAGAGGAAACCCACGTAAACGCATTGAGAACATGCAAACTCCACACAGAAACGCCAAAGGACCCAGCCATAGCTCAAACCAGCAACCTTCTTACTGTGAGGCGACAGCACTACCTACTGCGCCACTGCGTCGCCTGACACCACTGTTTTATGAATAATTCTCTTTTCAAAGAAGGCAAAAGTTTTTAAAAATGGGGTTCAAAATGCACATTTTCAAAAAAAATAAAATAAAATGCTTGGCTCTACAGTATGTAAACTACAAAACGTTTGAAAAGCGCTTATGTTCTGTGCATGCATCTTACATTGTTGACCTATGAGCTTGCAAGAACTTAAAACAAGGAATCAAAAAAATAATGGCAGACTAGGGATAGTATATGTATAATCACACCATCATCTAATGTCTTTTTTGTGGATGTGTGAAAATATTTGTTTGTATATAACACTTTCCATAAATGTTACATTTTTAGCTAATTGCGTCAACATACTACATAAAATCACTAGATATACGCTCTAATACAGACCATGCATCATCCATATTATGTCAGGCCACAACTAACTTTAGTAAAATAATAAAACAATAGTACAACATTGTCTAAAGCCAGCAGTCACACATTTAACAAAGTGCTTTAATAGTGATTATGATTTGACTTCACTTTTGTCATGAGCTAAACTCCAAACTTTATTCATTCATTTTCTTTCGGCTTAGTCCCTTTATTCATCAGGGGTCGCCACAGTGGAATGAACCGCCAACTCATCCAGCATGTTTTACACAGCCGATGCCCTTCCAGCTGCAACCCAATACTGGGAAACACCAACACACACTCATTCACACATACACTCATACACTACGGCCAATTAAGTTTATTCAATTCACTCATAGAGCCTACGTTCCAGTGGGGGAAACCGGAGCACCTGGAGGAAACTCACGTGAACACCGGGAGAACATGCTAACTCTACACAGAAATTTCAACTGGCTCAGCTGGGACTCGAACCAGCAACCTTCTTGCTGTGAGGCGATAGTGCTAACCACTAAACCACTGTGTTGCAACTCCAAACTTTAAAAGATAAAATAAGCAATAGAATGTTTACCTTAGATATTTGTTGCTGTACAGTACATTATATTAAGCAAACTTTGTGTTGAAAAGAACAAAAGATGTTCTGCAACGTCAAGCATTTTTAATTATTTAAAAGAACTGCTTCATGATATAAGATTTTCACTCACCTGACACCATGTCGTCTTTTAGTGGACGCGCCCAGTCCAAAATCACAAAGGAGTGACAGCCCTCCATAGCAACAACAGTCACATTGTGGGGCTTGTTTTTGGGTGGCTGCTTCTGATTGGAAGACTGTTGGTCTTTCTCCATCAGGTCTGCTAAAACGTCCACTTGCAAATACTCCAGAGCCTCAGTCAGGGAGCAGGGAGCTCCAGGGTCTTTCTGAATGTAGTTTACATATGGAGCTGAGGACAGAAGGGAAAGATAAGAGGAAAAAAAGAGTTTCAGAATGTCTGAAAGGATCGTTTTGCCATTGATTTTGCCACAGGCAATTGAACTTCAAGTTGTGTAAAACCTGATGATAATGTTTCCCAGCATGATTTTAGATGATTTAAAGTGCATCTTCAATGGAAAAAAAGAATTCCTGCAGAAAGAGTTTCATGATGGATGGAAAAGTGGACCATATAAGGCTAAAGTCCTTCAACGTAAAAACAATTGACAAAACATTAAATAAAGGCTCACAGTTTAAACCCTATTGTATGTATTGTATATACCAAATATTAGGCTTAAGTGCAATTTATTTACTCCTGTTTTTAGTGTCATGTGATCCATTTTTTTATTGTTAGCAATGTTCAACAGTTGTGGTGTGTAATATTTTTTTTGAAAATTTGAAACTGAGTAAGAGAAAAAAATACTCTTGAACTTACTGTACACAAATTGGATTTGGCTCTCAATCTGTCCATTTTATAAAGTACAACTCAACTGGTAACAAAAAAGATTTTAAAATATTTGTGGTAACTTAATGCAGGTAGTGAAATTCAGTAAACATTACATTTCTGTTGTGTTTTCTTCATAATCTTGTCCTAGTTCACAAATGTGCCAAATTTAATACTTGGTTTTTGGTTGTGGACAATAAAAGTTACCATTGTTGATATTTTGAGCTTCGACTTTTCCTGTTGGCTCAATGAAATTTTGTTATTTTTTGTCGTGCCACACAGCGCCAGTTGGATCCACAGCTGTGAACACTTCCAGAACCACCGTCTCATTGGGCCACAAGATTCACACCTGGAGCTAATCAAAAGCTCCATTTGATGGTGACCCCAATGCGGAACTAAAAACACACTTCTGTGCATGTGCCTTCACAGACACACACACACACACACACGCACGCACGCACGCACGCACGCACGCACGCACGCACGCACGCACGCACACACACACACACACACACACACACACATACAGCAATCGTTACAAGTGATAAGTCAAAAGCCACAATACAGAGTGTTTAGAAATGAACCAAAAAACTGAACAATGCATGAAAATAAGAAAAAGTTAGGCCTTACAGCATGTTTTGCTTAAGAAAGAAATTAAGTTTAAAATACACTTTTAACTTTTTGCAAGAATCCTGATGCCACCCACACTGCTGAGCATGCTATTTAGATGAATATGTAAATGTATGCTGCACATTTTCCTCTCAATAACAGTCATCAGAAAAGAGAGTGTGAGAAATCAGTAATTAAGAAAGATTGTGATTATGCTGTTGTATCGGATTAGTTTCTATGTCAAAGAAGTTGGATGTATAAAGCCATACCTACCTATCGCATAATCAATTTCTATGTAAAAGAAGACGGAGCCCTAAACCACAGCTTTCTATTACATAAACAATTTTCACATTAAAGAAAGCACAGCCCAAAAGCCACACCTACCTGCTACATTATCTATTTCCATCTCAAAAGCAGAGCATTAAGGTGATTTAAGTGACTTTGAATGTGGCATGGTTGATGGTGACAGACGGGCTGATCTGAGTACTTCAGAAACTGCTGATCTACTGGGATTTTCATGCACAACCATCTCTAGGTTTTACAGTGAATGGTCTAAAAAGAGAAAATATCCAGTGAGCGGCAGTTCTGTGGGCTCAGATGGCTTGTTGAATCCAGAGGTCAGAGAAGAATAGCCAGACTGGTTTGAGCTGAAAGAAAGGCAACAGTAACTCAAATAACCACTCGTTACAACACAGGTATGCAGAAGAGCATCTCTGAACACACAACAAATCGAACCTTGAGGCGGATGGGCTACAGCAGAAGAAGACTACACCGGGTGCCACTCCTGTCAGCTAAGAACAGGAAACTGAGGCTACAAATTGCACAGACTCACCAAAATTGGACAATAGAAGATTGGAAAAACATTGCCTGGTCAGATGAGTTTCGATTCCTGCTGCACCATTCGAATAGTAGGGTCAGAATTCGCCATCGACAACATGAAAGTAATGCTCCATTCATCCTTGTATCAACGGTTCAGGCTGGTGGTGGTAGTGTAATGGTGTGGGGGATATTTTCTTGCCACACTTCGGGCTCATTAGTACCAATTGAGCATTGTGTCAACGCCACAGCCTGAGTATTGTTGCTGGCCATTTTTATCCCTTTATGAACACAGTGTACTCATCTTCTGATGACTACTTCCAGCAGGACAACACTCCATGTCATAAAGCACGAATCATCTCAGACTGGTTTCTTGAACATGACAATAAGTTCACTGTACTCAAAATGGCCTCCACAGTCACCTCCAATAGAGCACCTTTGGGACGTGGTGGAATGAGAGATTTGCATCATGGATGTGCAGCTGACAATTCTGCAGCAACGTGCTATCATGTCAATATGAACCAAAATCTCTGAGGAATATTTCCAGTACCTTGTTGAATCTATGCCACAAAGGACTAAGGCAGTTTTGAAGGCAAAAGCGGGTCCAACCAGAACTAGTAAGGTGTACCTAATAACGTGGCCGGTGAGCGTATACTTGACTGTTACACAGACCCTCAAAACCATAACTCCATATTACATGATTCATTTTTGCATCAAAGAAGGTTGAGTCTCAAAGTCTACACCTTACATGATTGATTTCCAAGTTCTACCTCCTCATCATAAAATCCTAAAGACCAAATCTATCAGGAGCATGCTTTTCTAGAAAGTTCACTTTGTGTTTTAAACTTAGATTGGGCCTGATTATGTTGGAAATTACATTACATAGCTTGTTATTTAATTGTGCTTGAAGTAAACAAGACACAACTCAGGTGTAAATATTTAGCAACACTACAGCTACTGCATTCACACCTACTGAGGGTTGTATGCCAAAGTGGGAGCAAACATAACAGAGACTGTGTGAAATATAGTGGATTTGCTGGTGTGTCTGGAGAGCAGAGAACAACCTAGCATATTAAACCCATAAATATTCAAGGAGACGTCTGAGATTTGGGCCAGAAGGAAGCCTCTCTCAGCTGATATCAGCACATTTAGCTTATGTCGTTTTATTTAAGGCTTCTTTCTTGACATGTTTCTCTGTTTAAATAGCTTGCATATGTGTATGTGCCTGTTGTGCAGCTCGAGGTCTGGAGTGTCAGGATTTATCTCTCCACGCATTGAGGATAAGACGTTTTACCAAAGAGTTGTGTTCTCAGTGTTCCTGGAACTGATTTTTATAGGTATGATGCTTGTTTTGGTGAAGCTGGAACTTGGTGATGTTGACTTCTTTTAAGTGCTTCTCCTCAATCTTAGCCGAGTATCACTGGCTCTATCATTTTAATGCATGACGGCTACATAAAATCAATTTTACTGTTACTTTTAAAGTTTGGTTTGCCCAAAAGGATTATTACATCATTATTTACTCAATGGGGTTTTGTTTAAATGCTGTATACTCTTCTTTCTTTTTTATAATTCAAAGGCAGAACAAAACTTTAGGTTAGTTTAAGATATAAACCTACACAAAAAAATGTATTTTAAAAACTTTCATTGAAGAAGGTGTCCATGGGACTGTAATAAGACCTTTATAATGACAACTTTACATGAACAAATACATAATAACCTGTCAATTTAAAATTACCAAGACACATAACTTCATTACAAATCTCTCATAAGTTAAATTTCCCAAACTAATTTCGAGAGGAGCACGTGGTATGATTGACCGCAGCTGATCCCTATCGCTAATCATTAGCTAGCCAATAGGATCAAATTTAACATAAATATCAAGTTTAACTTCATTCCCTATATTCGTTTATGAAGACCTCCCCATATATCCCTTCTCCCTCCTTCTTATTTACAGGATTGGGCAACCTTGTGGCTCAGTAGCTAGCAATGCTTCTTCACAGCAAGATGGTTGCTGGTTTAAGTCCTAGCTGAGCCAGTCGGCACTTTCTGTGGGGGTTTACTGTACATGTTCTCTCATGTTCACGCCACACACCAGCTATTGGAAGAGTGGAGAGACAGTGATTGAGCCAATTCAGTGGATAGGGATGATTGGGAGGCCATGATTGAAAGGACCGATTGAGGGATTTTGACCAGGACACCAGGATTACACCGCTGCTTTTCAGGAGAAGTGCCAAGGGATTTTTAATGACCACAGAGAATCAGGACCTTCACTTTTACTGGGGCATTAGGACTCACAAAGACCGCAGGTTGAGCGCCCCCTGTTGGCCTCTCTAACACCACTTTCAACAGCAACCTAGTTTTCCCATGTGGTCTCCCATCCAGGTACTGACCAGGCTCAGCCCTGCTTAGCTTCAGTGAGTAACCGGTTATAATTTGTCGTAACATTTTTTGTTTGTTTGTTTTGTTGCTGAGCTACAAAAAAGCAAACTGAAATTAAATGTTGTAAATTAATCAGATTTTTAAAAAAGAAAAAATAATCTCACTCGATGGATAAAGGACTATATGCACAAGACATCAATGAGCAAATCAAGGCAAAAACTAGTGTAACTCCATTCTGTTATAAATGAGATTGATATTGTTTTTACTGTAATAAATGCATTATAAAATGTAAAATAAATGCTGTATTAGTTAATATAAAGTAATGTTTTCTAGTTATTTTTAAATATTATAAAATAAACTAGGAAATTACCCATGACACTTATATCTACCTTCGGCCCACTAGCCTTATTCAAGTTTGGCTTTTGGCCCTTCATAAGAAAAAGTTTGGGCACCCCTGATCTAGATGGTGTGATGGCAGCCAAATCACAACAGTGCCAGTGTGTCCACCTCACACCAGCTATAGGTGGAGATAAGAGATAGAGCCATGAGAAGGATAGGGATTGTTCGAAAGCCACAAGGAAAGATGTCAATAAAACATCATGTGAACACAGACTTTACCTCATGAAAGGCATTCAGTATCCAAAAAATACATTTTAGAGAGAGGAATTTAACTAGTTCCCTATTAAAATCTGGGGTTGATTTTAGACAGCCCAAATATTCTGGGG